ATCTTAATACTTTGAATACAGTACAACGCACTCTTATATTAATTGTGCTCATCCGTGCAGCTACTTTATAAAATAACAAGTAAATACTATTAAATATGAAACTTTGTGGGGGAAATTTCAAGAAATTTGATTGGACGAGGGGTTGTTAAAGACAGGCGGAAGATATCAAAAGGAACATTCGAACTCACAAGTCGAAAATAAACTGACAACGCCATTGCAATGAAAAAGACAAAAATACAAACAACAGTATGTAAACACAACATAGAAAAATAAAGACTGAGCAACACGAACTCCAATAAAACCGGGAGTGATTGATATATTCAAGAGAAAAAAAATCAATAATGCCACACGAAACAATGAAAATGCATATATATATGATGATTATTTTCTTAAAGATACCGTGTCATGTAGATAATTAAAATGTGCGGAAAAACATGGGATTTATTAAATACCAAGTCAGGCGGAAACCCAGTTGAAATAGAACAAAAGAATCGAAGCTCTTTGTTAGAGAAGGCGATAAATGCTTACTGTAATGTTTACTATAGTAACAAAATTTTTAAAAGTTAATAGAAACAAATAAAATGACAGTTTTCGGCTAAATTACGAAGTATTTTATCTTAAAAACACAATTTGCATAAGTTTTCAATTTATCTATTACATAATTAAGCAGAACAATTAGATATCAAGTCGACGACATGGGTGTTTATTCAGTTGGATCTAAAAAATGCATAACCTCCGATTTTTATTTTTTTTTACCCACGGACGGAGAACATATCAATCTATTTGTTCCTTAATTTTCGTTTCTGCCCTTCCATTATGTAACTCAAGAAAAAATTCAAAAAATGGGTAACAATTGCATCGAAAAGATAAAACCGAGTGCACCGTTTTATGTTCGGGCGTGTTTGAGTTAAATATTTTGTCTTGAAAACGTTTAAAGCAAGAGTATTTGATACATCATCTCGCTTCAGATTCTATTATTTTTATATATCAAGGCTACAGGTTGACTTTATAACATCGAAAGTTCACAGTACTAAAAAATTAAATATATGGGTCAAGTGAAATACCTTTCTAATGAATCACAAAAACAGAGTAGGTGTGTTCGAATAGCAAATTTTTAATAAAAGTACTTGACGACTGACTTTTAAGTTGGATCTTAAAAATGCATATCTTCGAAAAAACTTCATTTTTTGTGTGTGATAATTAGGGTTTATAGTCTTCAACCACTGAAAATTTTTAGTCTGCCCTTCCACGAAATATTTAATTAGAATTTTTTCAAATGTTTATGAATTTCCGAAAATTCCACCTGAAAACCGATCCGACAATAGTTTTAAGTTGACTGAATGCAGACAAGTACATTAACTGATGCTCATTAGCTAGTAGATACATTTGTCTTTTAAAATACACCTGGCATATAAGGATCGTAATGGTGCTATGTGGATAAATTTGTCGGTTTTCAAGAGCTAAATTGGAAGCGCGTCATCCCTACAATGGCTTCCATTTTTACGATTTTGTAAAAATGAACTGGCGTAATGGGGAGATAATTTTGACGAAGTAGAATCCTGACTGAAGTGTTAAAGCTCTAGATTAGAATTTTTTAAGTGTCTTTAGGAAACCTCTATGTCTGACAGTAAAACCTACGTTTTACGTAGGCCAAGCTTCAAATACAATACTGTTGTCTCTTATTCTTGTATATTTACATGTACCTTTGTTTCCTTTCTTAAATTTGTTTTGAGATTATTTAGACTCTATACGATATAGAGCTTGGCATATCGATAGACTTCTGTCTATTATTGACAACTGATTGTTGCCCTCTAACTGTCTTTTAGGTTGTTGAGCTGCTGTCTCATTGCATTGAATCCACCTCTACTTTAGTTATATAGAAGAAACTCCCGTTTGCTAACATACGTTCAATATTATGATTAACATATGTCAACTAGAAACCAACGTTGTTTGTTGAATACAAAACCCCGACAGAATTGAATAGACAGTTAAGTATTTTAAGCATATTATATTGTGAATTGCAAAACGTCACAATTATAATATTATGGTAGGACAAGATTTGTAATAATTTAAAATTGAATTCTTAATTGAACTTCAGAATAGAAAAATGATACATTAATCATTTTCACTTGGTTTTTCAAATAAGGAAAAAGAAATATTAAATGATATAGAATTAGGATTTGACACTATTTTTGTTTTCGTCAATGCAGATTAAGTAAGTTTCATTCAAAAATGAATTGCACTTAACTTAGAACATGGTAGTTTGAAAATCTCTCCATGCAAACTGTAAATATCGTGTTATCAGGTAAACTTGCAACTGTCACATGACTAAACAACTTCCTTGTTGAAATTCCGGTGACATTTTAAGGTAAACAATAGGTACGTGTTTAAGTTACATTGAACATTTTGGTGTGTGTGTGTGTATGATTATTTCATCCGTTAAGCGTTACATCAATTTAGTTTATTTTCACTCCTCATGTCTCATTCCTCATTCTGCTCTTTTTAAAACATATTTGGCAGCTCATATATATTGTTATATTTAAGTCATCAAATTTCTATAAATCTTTTATAACTTCTACCATAAAAATCAGTAAGTTAATAGATAGTCTTATGGATACATGATACATTTAGCATTTATAACTATCAATTATTCAGTCAATAAATCAAGTGCATTTACTGAAAACCGTTATTTGAATACTTTGTGAATGAAAAATAAGAAGTAAAGAAATTTGTATGGTAAACACATAATAATCCTGTTTTGGGACCCTGCTGCATACCACAATTGTACTACGAAATATGGTCAAATTGCTTAATAAAATCGACAACAAACGAAATGAATAAATCTGTTAATACAGTACATAACTAAAAAAAGACCGATAAAAGGTTTTACTTTAATAAAAACTTTATTCACAACTTTTAAAATAAAGGAGGATTTATAGCTATATATAAAACGTAAAATAAAAAAAATATAAAAATTTGAATTTTTCGAAATAGTAAAGATTTTCTAATAACATAAACGGTAAAAAACAGATGCGCATTTCGACAATAAATGTCTCTTCTTACTACGAAATAGACTACCTTAGCTGTATTTGGCAAAATCATTCGGAATTTTGGGTCCTCAGTGCTCTTCAACTTCGTACTTCGTTTGACCTTTTTAAAACTTTTTTGATTCGAGTGTCTCTGAGTTTGTAGACGATACGCTCGTTAGGCGTACACAATTTTAATCCTGGTATCTATGATGAGGTTATGTAGAAAGACACCTTTATTTGAGTACCAAACGTGATCTCCAGATTTCTTTTTGGTTTTGCTAAGGAGTAGTGGCCATAAGAAAAACAGTATTTGGGGAGATAACTCTTACAACGTAAAGTGTTCGGTTAAGCAGTGTTAGTTTCAAAAGCGTATAAACTGTACGATATCATATTCCAAATATATAAGCTACATCTTATAAAACAAGAACACAACGAAAGAAAAAAAATTAGGCGGAAGAAAAAAAAGTAATAATCAGAACAAAATCAATAGTTCTTTCCACGGAAAAGTGGAAAGACCTAATAATCAGAACAAAACCAATAGGTCTTTCCACGGAAAAGTGGAAAGACCTAATAACATAGTCAAACTAATAAATCTTTTATCTAAAATACTGTTAAGTATTTATGCAAAGAAAAATAACTCTGATATTTCTAAGTATTTGTATATATTTCACGAATTGCATTTGAGATACTGACTTATTGATGCCGTCTCCTTCCTTTGACGATCAGTCACAAAATAAATAATATGCAAAGACATTGTCCCTCCTTTTTTCTACTTTCCTTTTGTTACCAAGTTCCTGCATGCATGTAATACAATACTTTTAGTGCATTTGATGTCCAAACATTGAAATAAGATAAATGCAAAAGTATAAGAATCTTTCTTTGTGTTTTATTTAATGTCTACATTTTTAACATTGTCTATTGGTTTTGAAGTTTGCTTTCAGTTTAAACATTAGTTGTGAAGTGATATAGATGTTGTAGCTTATGCAAAAAGTTCATTTGACGATGTGGTGAAGTTGAAATCATTCCTTCGTAAATTTTACCGACGCCATCACGGGTTGGTTGACCGTTATGGATATCCGTTTCACAGATGATGATAGCGGATATGTTCCTAATGTCGAAACTACAATCCCGCCCCTATTCTCGAATGTGACCTACCGAATTAGACTTATCACCGGGTTTGTACTAACATGAGCAACACGACGGGTGCCACATGTGGAGCAGGATCTGTTACCCTTCTGGAGCACCTAAGACCATCCCAATTTTTGGTGGGGTTCGTGGTGCTCAGTCTTTATTTTCTATGTTGTGTTTTGTGTACTATTGTTTGTCTGTTTTTTCTTTTCTTTTTTAGCCATGGCGTTTTATTTCGACTTATGAGTTTGAATTTCCCTTTGGTATCTTTCGCCCTCTTTTACATACCTGTGAATTAATGTTTATAAGATCTTTTTTGATAAAAGCGTTATACCAATATTTTTTCCAGTTATATTGATGATATAGAAAGAGTTCATTAAAAATTCTGCAAACTTTTGTTTAATATGAAAAAATCAACAGTAAGCTTTATGGGCTATGGAAAGGTCGGTGCCTTTTCTATATCAGTATATGTTGAACTCCGTATGGTAACTTTTTGATATATATGTTAAAAGAGTCGAATAAACTGTTTGCTGTTTCGAACATATTTAAACGTAAATTGCAAAACTTCACGATTATCTTATTGATATGGGACAAGGCTAGTAATATCTCAAAATTGCGCTATAAATTAAACTTCAGAATATAAAAATATGAAATATTCATTCTTACTTTGTTATAAAAATCATATAGAACTTGAATTTGATTCCATATATCTTTTTTCGTCAAATAAGTTTTATTCATATATGAATTGCATCTTAGACAATTCAAATTTTTAAACCCCGCCATTACAAATGTAAACATCGCGTTATCAGGTAAACTTACATCTTTCATGTGACGAAACAACTTCCTTGTTGATAATACGGCGACATTTTTAGATTACAATAGGTACGTAGTAACGAAATTGTAAATGTTGGTGTATGTGTATGTGTATGTGTGTGTGATTATTGTTCCAATAACTGTGTTGGCACTTATATTAGTCCTCATGTCTACATATTGTCGTACAGTAACGATAGATGATATGTGTTTACATAATTTCTGTCCCTTTTAAAACATATATGCTGGCTCATATATATATACATGCATCCATTTTCAACTCTTATAAAATTTAAGATTGTTTGAAACTGTTAAAAGATGCATATAACAAATAACGTTTTAAATGAAATTAAAGGATGAATCATGCCCCTTATAACCTGCTATCATATATATTTTAATCGTCAAATTTCTTATGCTTCTTTTATTGCTGCTGCCAGTTAGCTGTAAAGTTTGATAGATAGTCAAAATGATGCGTGACAAATTAAGCTTTTTACTTAACTATCAATCATTTGATCGATAAATCAAGTGCATATAATAACAAAAAAAGTTGAATTATTGATGAATGAAAAAAAAAGGAGTAAAAATGTTTCTATGGTTAACAAAAAAATATTGGGTCCTGTGGAATATACCATAAATGTATGAATAAATATATATGCTAATATGACAAATTTAATACAGAACGAATCACAAAACCTACTAAATCATCTAATTACAACTTTCTAGATTCAGGATGATTTAGAGCATTCTATAATGTAAAAACAATCGGATTTTATTAAGGACATGTGTCTATGTCCAGATGTATTTGGGTTTTGCGTCGTCGGGTTGCTGTCTCATAGACGTTACCCCCACTTCAGGTGTCCTTTTTTCATATGAAGGTTTCTCATACAGTTTCAAACGGTACACTCATAACAGGAACATCGCCATCAAGGGCCACATTAAATACCTTCCCTTTGAATGCACATGGTAGAATTTGACATCGTGATTCTACCTGACGATATCAGGTTATTGGTACTTAATCAAATCTTAACAGGAAGTTGTGTTCATATTAAATAACCGACACGGATGGAAATTAATAAACAATTTCAAAATATTCAGACTTTAATGAAATATTTATTTTGGTAAGTTGATGCAAGCATGTGATCTGTATTGTTTCTTATACTGTTAGAGGAAATAATGTTTTAAACATGTTAATTATGAACTATGCAAAACAAAGGAGTTCATGCATTTTGCTGAGTTTCAAGCAAATATAATTTACTGTGGGTTAGCATTCGCTAACAGTCTTTATCCTATAGATTAACAACTGTTGATTATATTGATAATTTAGAATTTCATAGAAGCTGGAGCACGAATGTTGAGCTAATTTACTCTTCTAATGTTTCATTTGTATGCCAGAGTGACATCCTTTTGTACTATGTTCCAATTTCAACAAGTCTATCGAGTCAATTAGTTTATTGTCTCCCTTGAATAGGTTCATTATTTTATCTTTACGTATAGTTTTTTTATTTCATCTTAAATCATTACAAAATTTTTAATTTTGATAGATTTTAGTATTTATAAGTGGTTTAAGAAAGATATCCAGTTATATCTATAACTTTATTTATTTGATTTATTTGAAACGTTTAAGAATATTATATTCCAATATAAAGAGCCTTTCATAAATTCATAAATATTATTAAGTTACAAATTGGTAGTACTGTTTCATTGGGCAACCTATTGTGACAATTTAAAGGGTAATGCATCTGCCACAAACTACTTGTGGAAATGTGTTAACTGCGAGCCGTATAATTGTGATTTATTAGATATAGTGTATGTAGTTCACTTTCTATTAAAGGTAAATAATTCATGTATATAAACACTAGTATCATTTGACATCTGAAGTCATTCTGTCCGTCAGGAATACACTGTTTTGTGTTTTTGACCGCATCCCCTTATTTTAAACAGCATTGATTCTGTTACTTGAAAAAGCATACAATAATTGTTTTGATTTTGATATTGGGTATATAATTGTGTTCGAATTCAAATGAAGCAGGCATATTGCCTAAATTTATTTGTTTAACATGAATCCCTAAAGACATATACATTTATGACGTTAACCCCCCCCCCCCCCCCCCCCCCCCCCCCCCCCCCCACACACACACACACAAGCACAAAACCATGAACAGAACATCATAACTACCACTTTATTCCGGAATCTTAAAATTTATGCCAAATGATTTAGCGAGAAATTATGATTGAATAAAGCATTCGAATTTTTGTGAAATAGACTATGATGTTCAGTAGTTGTCGTTTGTTGATGTGGTTCATAAGTGTTTCTCGTGTCTCGTTCTATATAGATTAGACCGTTGGTTTTCCCGTTTGAATGGTTTTACACTAAAAAATTTTGGGGCCCTTTATAGCTTACGGTTTGGTGTGAGCCAAGGCTCCGTGTTGAAGACCGTACTGTGACCTATAGTGGTTTACTTTTATAAATTTTGACTTGGATGGAGAGTTGTCTCATTGGCACTCATACCGCATCTTCTTATATCTATATATATGAAAGCCGAATTAATTTATCTCCCCATAGTGATAAAATGTTGAAAACATTAACCAAAGTTATCTTACATTCATCACAAAGAGTGGCTAGCAAACAGTTTTTAATTGAAGTTTAATTAACTTTAAAACTATTTTTCACTGAATATGAATGCTACTTTTTTCAATTATCAGGACTTAGTAAGCCAAATTTACTTATTTTATTGGATATTGTGAATTTTTATTATAAAGATGCTACTTGACAGTAATGTTCCCCAACAAATAGCGCCCATTTCTCTCATAGTTTGAATTATTAAGTGCCAATCTGCCTAAGAATCAGGCAGTAGTGAAAACATGACAAAAAAAAAAAACCCACTCAAGTTGACATTGATTTATGTTCAAATTGTATCATGGTGCACGAATATAAAATTCGTTTCCTCTTCCTGTTCTGGTAACTCAAGATATACTTTGGTTGAAATGCACTAGAAATAAACAATTAAAGGGAGATAACTCTGTAATGTGCTATCATTCTAAATTGCCTGATTCTTACAAAGACTGGCACTTAAATGAAGCAATATGGTAATCGTTTATTACAAGTAAATTTGATAATCAAGGATTTACTATATTGACCTAGATATCAAAATGTATACCATCCCTGGGTGATTGTTATTTAGTTGACAAAGTTTTGACATCGGCGTCTCCATTGTGCATTTTTTTTTGAACTGACTCAAGTTCACACTTTTTCATAAAAATCTGTTCAATATGTCCTAATATTATCTGTTTGTCCACTGACTATTGGATCAGTTTTCGGTCTGAAAAGGATAGAAATATACAGATAGACTGCATTTAATTGCTTATCTTTGTATATATTCCTATATAATTGATTTAAGAAGATGTGGTATGATTCCCAATGATGCAACTCTCCACCAGAGACCAAATTACATAGATGTTAACAACTATAGATCACTGTACGGCCTTCAACAATGAACAACACTTATACCGCATTGTCAGATATAAAAGGCCCCGAAATGACAAATGTAAAACAATTCAAACGAGAAAATTAACGGCCTGATTTATGTACAAAATAACAAACGAAAAACAAATATGATATACAGCAACAAACGACAACCACTGAATTACAGGCTGCTGACTTGGGAAAGGCACATACTGAATGAGGCGGGGTTAAACATGTTTGCTGGTGCCAAACCCTTCCCCTCTTACCTGGGACAGTGGTGTAACAGTATAACATAAGAACACACTTAAAAAAAGTTGATAAGACTACTATAACGGTCATCAATGATAAATGAATACAAATTGGTATAGAGCTTTTAATTAAATACTTTCTTTAAATTGCTACACAATGTGTGTTTAAGTTTATTTGTTAAAGACAGATCAGTATTTAGCAAGATGTACAGTAGTTAGTATAAGGTTCCTGTCGTTTCATATCTTAGTAGTACGTAGCATTCTATGTTAAATACAAGTAAGTGTATAAAATGTATTTATTTCTATTATAATCATTTGTATTTACATATATTTGAAAACAAAATAAAAACATTATGAACAAAACATCGAGGCAACAATAAATGAAATAAGCGGTTAAATCAATTTAGTGGATCGGAATTAAGGCCATGAAATTTGAACATCCACGCTATTAAATGAAAAAAGAGTATGCAAGTTCCGAACATAAATTTTGGTTTGCACCAGGTCAAATTCCCCTTAAAAATTGCTGCAAGGGTTTAATAGCGTGTGCTGAGATTTATCCATTATTCAAACATTACTTGTTTTCTACTGTCACGATGATCTTCTTTAAGTCCTGTATATAAAGTATATTTCTCGACCAATGACATATTATGTTGACGATAAATTGTATCTCACTGATAGTATTTGCATTTTATGTTATAAAATTATAAAACTTTGCTTTAATCTATATATTGTTCACTACTGCTGCAGCAAATATTACACATCACGTCATTTAAATCTCTCCCCAATTCCAATTTCCCAACTGTTTGTTGAATCTATTGCTTTTTTTATTCGGCCGTCACTGATACGTCTTTGTTAGACAAAACGCAAGTCTGGTGTACACATTTTAAAGCCTGGTATTTATGATGAGTTTATTCATATCCATTCTCTCCCGAGAAGCCTCTTTTATTTCGACCAACAGTACATTTTCACGACGGCCACATTTTGCCCCAAAAAGTTAAAACAACCCTTTATAAATTAATTTTAAAAAAAGGACAATTTAAGAAATAATTGTTATAACTATGGCTGACTACTGAGCTGATGATACCCTTCACAAGGGAAAGTTACTAGCCAGTTGATTGCTACAGCTAGAATATGGTGTAAATAGATTGTTATAATTGTCTTTCATTTTTTTTCAGCAATGGCAACAAATCCTAAATTTTGCAGTATATGTGATCAACGCCATATCACTAAGCCCTCAACTGACTGGTGTTCAGAATGTAACCAAGCTCTCTGTACCGAATGCAAAGAATTCCATACAATTTCAAAAGCTTCACAAAATCATTCAACGATAGCGATATCAAATTACTTAGCTCTTGGCTCCTCCCTTTCTCAAGTTGAGGGACACTGCTCTTTACACAACGACAAATACCAATTGTTTTGCCAATCCCATGACTGTTTACTGTGTCTTTCGTGTTTAGAGGAACACATGAAGTGTGAATGCGTCGTTCGTATTAGTAAGTTAACCAAAGATGTCAAAACAACCGAAAATTTTGTAGACACTCAAAAGGGTCTATCGGACGTCATATTAAATCTTTCAAAAATACAAAGTAATCTTGAAGAGAATTTAAGCGATATTCAGAAAAAGAAAGAATCAGTTCTTCAAGAAATAATTCAGATAAGAGAAAAGATCGACAGCCATCTGAATCAAATTGAAAACGCTCTGAAAACAGAAGTATGTAAATTAGTTGATGATCAGTGCAACACAAATATTGGCAAGACTTTGGAAGAGATACAAAATGAGAAAACGAAGATGGAAAAATTTCAGCAGCAGATGGAGGACCTTAATAAATATGGATCAGATTTCCAAGCGTTCTTTGGCTGGCGTGAGATTTCATCAAAAACGGAAACCACCTATAAGTATTTGCAGGCATTAGGAGACAATGGTAGTTTAGATAAGGTGACAATTTCTTGTACAATTGATAGAAAGATTTCCGGATTTATAAAAGAAGCTAACAGTTTAGGTTCGAGTCAGATACAGAAAATTCCGAGCAATATTGTACTAGAGAGATCAAAAGACAAACAGGCACAATTAGTAGGCGTGAAAAAGAGTTCTATCAATGATATAAAGCTCAAATTAAAACATACTTTCAAATTAGCTGATGATGTTACCGGATGTTGTTTTCTTCCTGATGGAAAGCTTGTTATTTGCGATCGTTCACGTAATAACTTTGTAAAGATATTACATCCACATGGAGAATTGATGTTTGAAATTTCCATGTCGCCCAGTTATGCTTTTGATGTAACATGTATTGACCCCCAAACTGTAGCTGTATCGTCAGACCATAATGTATACAAGCAAATAAATTTCATCAATGTGGATACAAAATCGACGAAGTCATTCCGTCCCGGAGTGAGATGCTATGGAATTACACACAAAGATGGATCACTAATGTCTTGCGTCGAAGGAAAAGGAATACAAACTGTCAATACCCAAAGTGGGGAAAGTACTACGATTGTACCATGTAAATTAATGTCATGGTCTAATTATATCGTTTTCAGTGACAATAAATTATATTATACGAACAGAGAAGACCATACCGTAACATGTTGTGATATGGGAGGTAATATTATATGGACATTTAAAGACGAAAATGTTGTGAGGTATCCTCGTGGTATAGCAGTTGACAATACGGGAAATGTTTATACTGTTAGTCAACATACACTAATTGTGTTGTCAGCAGACGGAAAACTAAGTAGACAACTTTTGTCAAAAGACGACGGACTTAATGATCCACGTGCAATAGCTTATGACAAGATAAAAAATCGTCTTTGCGTTGTAAATTTGCGAAATAACGGATTTTTGTTTGACGTAACATTTTGTGAAGAGATTGAGGTATGACTTATTATTTGGGTTTTTTCGGATGATGTTTTGTGTATGTTAATGGAGTTCTATTTGATTTATCTCTAATTTATCTTTGTAAGAATAAAAATAGGTAGTTCCTTTATTGTCTTCTTTACATTAATCATCCATATAGAAATAAAATGCAACCAGGAGTGAAGAAACAAGAATTAAAAAAAGGGCATTTAAATTTCAGCATACAATTATACACTGGCATTCCATATTTTAGGCTAATTATCAAAGTAAGCGTTGATTTGTTCAATAGAAATAATCAAAGAACACCTTTGTTCAAATCAAACAGATTGAAACAATAGCACTTAATGGCTAATTGTTGATTGCTTTAGATAAAGACAGTAAGTTTCAACATGCTTTATAAGTAGCATACAAAAGATTGTTTTTGACCGTTGTTGAAATCTTGTCGATCTATAAAGTATGTTCATATCACTATAATAAAACAAAACGGAGCAAGAACGAGTGCGTCTACAGGATAAAGGTTTCCTGTCTTCTTGTGAGTTTTGACTTTTCGTTTATTTCTGTCAACAATTTTATTTTGTAATGGGGACCTTTATATCTCTGTGGTGTCGATTTCACTCATTTTGGCTCATAACACTTTTGATTTAGTATAAGAAACACAACCCTGTTCATTAAGTTTACATATTGTGAACTTGATCGCATGTGTATTGATCAATATTTTAGACTGATTGATTTATTGGTTGATATTTGCTTTGAACTTACTATCAATCTATATATCGTAGCAGCATATTTTATTGGAGTAACACGAGGGGTTTCACACGTGGCGCAGGATCTTCTAAACCCTTCTGGAGCACCTAAGATCACCACTGTTTTTTGAAGTTCGTGTTGCTCAGAAATTAGTTTTCTATATAGTGTTTTGTGGACCTGTTTGTCTTTTCGTCTTTTTTCCATGGCATTGCCAGTTTCTTTTCGACTAATTAGATTTGAAAGTCCGCTTGGTATCTTCCGGTTCTTTTTACCAGTAACTCCGATAAGACATTCTTGTTACGGTTGTGTTCACTGGGATATATAAGATGCGAGTACTCAATGAAAAAGGGGGTTTTTGAGTGAAAGAATTCATCTATTAATCTTAAAATTAGATTGAATTTAGATGTCTTTTGTTTTGTCTTTGAGAAGGTATGTGTGCATTCTGCTTTATATGAGTACAGGGACAAATCGACCAATAGGGACCAACAATAAGTGTCCATTGTAATATAGCAGCTGTTTGATAAAATTGTAATTCGCCGAACTAAAAACAAATGATGTCGATCAAAAGTTCAACATAAGGATAATATCTTCTTTGGTATATTTTTTGTTTTAATCAGGTTGCTTTTTCAGAAAAAAAGGATATTTCACCACCTTCAGTAACAAAGTTGTATCTACGATTTTCATTTTTGTATTAAGGAATAAAGGACCATTGAGCAGTGTTTAAGGAAGAAAAGTAGCAACCATCCTTTTAAATATTCATGTGGAATAAAAAAGGTAAAATAACAAATATACCGAACTCCAAGGGAACCTCAAAACCGAAATTTCTTTATAAAATGGCAAAATCAAAAGCTCAAACACATCTAACGAATGGAAAACAACTGTCATATTCCTGACTTGGTACAGGCATTTCCTTATCTAGAAAATGGTGGATTAAACTGGTTTAGTTCAGAAAAAAATCAGCAGTATTGATATTGTTGTAAAACAGTAATGAATGAACATGAAGGTTTTTTTCGCTAGAATTTTTAGGAATTCATATATGATAGACATCGCGGTTAAGTATACCTCATCACACTATTTCTGAGTCATACTAAATAAAAAGGGATTACATGAATCGCCAAAAATAATGCATCGCGATAACCTCAACAGCCAAATCTCAAGGAAAAAGTGTGATATACAAAACAAAGAAAACAACAACGAAAAACCCATACTCCAGACTAGTTTGGTACAGGCACAAAATGTGGTACATTTGAACCAGTTTTACGTGCACGCAAACCATTTGCCTATCTAGACCATGTGTCATATAACCAAAACATAGAATAAATATGTCAACAGTGTAGTTTCAAATAGGCTGAACGTTAATTAAACAAATTTAACAAGGAAACAAAAAAAGAACGGCATTCCTTTGGAAAGCTGGGTCAAAATGTTCTCGCTACTACAGATAACTAGCTTAGGTAGCTACAGCTATAAGCTGGATATGACTGCTCTAGAAAACAAAATCAGAAACAAAACTCCTGACAGGTTTCATGAAATTCAATTGAAAATGGCAGAATTTTTGAGAGACCAGTTAGTATTCAAAATTCAAAAGACCGTCGAATATATAAACCATTTTTACTGCATTATAGTAGTCCTTACTATTGAAAGACTGTTAGCCAGATTTTGGATACATCATTTTTCAGTGTTTAATGTGTATTAACGACATTTCAATTTTTGAATGCCATTTTGAACAGTAGAAATAATGGTAGTACAAAATTTAGAAAGATGTTTAGTCGAACAATTATCGTTCATTATAAGGATTTCTTTGAAGTTTGGGAATCCAGTAAAAAGAATGGAAATTTGTATTGTTCTTGTTTTTGTTAATACCAAAGAAGAGAAAAAAGGATGAATTTGTGATTGTTTTAAATATCCTCTTTCGTGGAGGGTTTTTGTTGCATAAGTAAGATTCCTATTATGATGTAAATTCAAATACGAAAATGAGAAATGGTATTCCAAGATTTTTAGTAAGCCAATCAAATTATTGATTTAAAACAATAATTTTTGATGCTCTGTCTACTTGAACTACAACATATGTGTCGTGTGGAGAGGATAACGCATCCACAATCCCGGGCTCCTGAAAGGGATTATAAACCCGTGTTATCATGGTTAGTCTCAGCTTGTAAATGTAAATGTAAATGTGGATTCAGGACCAAAAAATCTTGACCCACTCAGATAAACCCATTTGCTGGTATAGTTTATAAGTAACCTGAAGTTCTTCCAATTGATGGACTAGATAATTGTGCCTTTTGATAACAGATATCGTAGTTGTTCTTTATATACGATGCCAAGGTTCAGGATTATAACATGACCACAATTTCTATATTTGTATGTGAACTATATATATAAGAGAATTCAGGAGGTTTCGATTTTACATCCTATAGAATGATACCCTCTTGTGATTGAAAATCTTGAATACAATATGTTTGATGTAGATATAAGAACACAAATGTATGTCTACATGATACAATATCTCGCGTGCACTTTTATAGTTCGTATTCGAAGGCAACTCTGAAACACAAAATTTTACAAAACACGCAAGTTAAATATACGGCGATTACTTGGTTTAGATAATTAAATCATTATCAACAAAAAGTCATTTTGAAAAAAGTCTTTCAATCTTCCCTTCAATTGACAGTATCACTGCTCAATGTACGTACTTTAAGGTTCAAACACTATTATGATTAACATAAAACTATAAACGCTCAATAATATCCAAAAACCGCAGCATTTGACAGCTTTCATCAGTAAAATGTCTAAAGTTGACATGAAGCTTTTTTTAAATTTTTTTTGTGGAAATAAATTTACTCAATTCGGGTGGAGATGTCTCTCGATGCAAATTGTCGACAAAAACATGCAGAATTATCAATTATCTATCATAATGCCCTTAACAGCAACATGTAGAACTGAATAATATTTGGATTATTTGGAAATATGTATATTTATGAATCAATTGTTTTAGTGTATGACATAGACACCTCTATTATACTAAATTTCGATTAGGATTTGTCAATTTTTAGATTTCGATCCTGTAAGTAAGAAAATACAAGGGTTATATGCCATGCTCCTTTCTTGAATATGTTTTAGATATGAATATGAAGGAGTCTATATCATATACTTAACATATTGTTGCTAAAATAAATCAAGTATTACAACAACAAAAAATGCTTGACTGTATAAATGATATTGAAACCTGAAATACAATAAAAGGAAACTTCTCTCTTAAAACCATAAAACCACAAAACCACAAGTGTATAATTATACACGAGTCCAATTAATAAAATTATATTTTGAAATTAATATTGAATGGGATAGCCACTCTAGTAATGACATGTCTAACATTTTGTCCTCAACTTCCGGCTTTTCAGATGATTTATCGTGAATCGTATAAAAAATTTCTATAAAATTAAGATATAATTTGATATCTTATAAAAGACAATAAAAACTTTGGTTGCTATTTAGACAGCAATTTAAACACGTAGAGGTATTGATGTCCATACTTAATATTATCAGCAATTGTCTTCCTCTTTTATGAATATTAAGTTGTTAACTTGAGTGCTAAACTTCGGTAGCATATTAAATTCTGTAGTTAAGAACATTTATATGAAAAACGTTATATGCGTAAAGCACAGTATCAATACAATAAGCTTAAGAATCGTGCACAACCCACCTGTATTTTGGTTATTGTTTCAAAGACTTATCTTTTAGTAAAAGAGAGGCGGAAAATACCGAAGGGATATTGAAACTCATTAGTCGAAAGGTATTAACTAAAACGAAAAATAGCAAAATACCGAACTCAAAGGAAAAATTCAAAACGGAAAGTCCTTTATCAAATGGCAAAATCAAAGGCTCAAACACATCAAACGAATGGAAACAAACTGTCATATTCCTTCTTGGTACAGGCATTTCCTTATGAAGGATTAAACCTGGTTTTATAGCTAGCTAAACCTCTCACTTGTATGACAGTCGCATAGAATTCCATTATATTGACAACAATGTGCGGGCAAAACAAACAGACATTATATGTAAAATTGTCACAAATTGGGGTACAGCAGTCAACATTGTGTATTAATAATGCAGATTAGCTAAATTATCTGTCGTAAAGGATCGTAAGATGCAGTCATAGATTTAATTATTTGATATATATAAAAGTCTATAAAAAGGACCAACCAGCAAATTTAATATGTACCGGATCGACTAGAATACAACGGTACTAATATAAGATGGTAATATACGACGATGATTTAATAAAATCATGTTGACAAATATTTCGGCTTAACAAATAGCCTTCGTCAATGTCAATACTTTTTACAATACTAATTGTTTGTGTAAAATAGCTCAATAATACAGGTAAGT